TCTGGTCACCACAGCCTTGGGCAGACCGTGTCGGGACTGGACCGAGCCGAGCCGGTGCGTGTGTGGGGCCGCGGCCTGGCCCTCCTTCCTCACAGGGCTGCCCAGAAACCTTCGGAGTATCCTCAACTTGCTTTTGGGTTATTAATTGTCTATAACCACTAATAACTTCCATTTTTCCGTAATTCAGCGCAGCGGTAAGCTTTACAGACAGCCCTCCTTAGCATGTAGCTGGCTCTGATCGGCCTGCTGCGGGTAACCCGCAGAGATCAGTCGTGGATGTGACCATCCGCAGTCAGGGCTTAACAGGTTTAAATCAAGATCTGTGTTCATCTGTGTTTATTCCTTAAGAGGAGCACTGGTTTCTCAATTTCAGATTTCTCTTTGCAGCATGCCTAGGTGCTTACCTGAAAATAGAAACCTGAAATCCTGTGTAGTCTTGTTTCTAAATATCAGAATAAAAACCACTCCTGTTTAAAAGTAGTCTTGATGATGTTATGTGCTGTCTGTAAATCTATCATTTGTATTATTTGGGGAGGTCTTGGGTTCAGCTGTGGATAAATCTTGCACAAAAAAAATTAAGAAAGAGAATGGGTATTATATCTGGAAATCTGAGGAGGTCTCATCTGAGGAAAATTAATTAGCCTGAAGTTAATCAGGTTCTCCAATTTATGTCTGTTAGAGTTACAAAGGAAAGCTTGCATGAAACAGCAATTAATAAGATCTGGTCTGAGAATTAGACACTTAAGTGGGGATTTGATACAGTTCAATGTTGGATGATTTGATTTTTTTAATTTAAAAAAATTTAATTTAAAAAAAATCTGCAAGAAGAGGAACATAGGAAAACCCCTGCACTTGTGTGACAGTCATATTTTCCATGCATGTGCTTCTAGGACAATCCCTGTCCTAAGAGAAAACTAGGCTTTTTTTCCTGAAGAAAAATCATGTGTAAGGTCACGTTTAGGGGGTTGGAGGCAATGCATATTTTAGCTTGCTGTGTAACGTGCCAGTGGTCCGAGTACCCTCAGCTGTAAAATTCAGTAGAAGTTACCTGAAACATGAAAGTTTAATTCACTTTACAGCTGTTTTCATTATTATTCTTGTTTACTGTATTTTAGTATTTGAGGATAAATGAAATGCTTGGTGTTGCACACAATAAGGAAGTAACACGGTTCTTCCCAGAAAAGGCCAAAGTCCACACTTTCTGTAATCCCTTGGCCTCGCTGGCTGAACGTAACTGGTAGCAGTTAATGAGGCAAGTGGCGTAGGATTGAACTCTGAACTTCCCCCATCTCCCAGTGACAATTTTGATAGCAAACCGCTTCAATGACGTGCATTTAGTATCTTGTTTTGAATACTCGAGCCTGTGTACAAGTGTTACTAAACTGCTATCGAGTGAAAAAACTGAACTAAGAGTCAATTCTCCCTTTTCTAGTGCAGCATCACACGGGAAGCCTGGCAGGGTTGAAGCGCTCGTGGAGGTGGCCATGTTTCCTACCACCAGGAAGTGAGAGAGCGTTGCTCAAGCCCAGCAGCTATGGCAGCCGACGAGAGGGACTACAACCTGACGCAGGAGCAGAAGGCTATCAAAGCCAAATACCCACCGCTCAATAAGAAATACGAATGTGAGTATTTTTAACTCTATGCTGAAGCAGCGTATGTGTGACAGTGCAGTCGTGAGGGGGAGGGAGGGGAAGGAAGATAGCAGGATATGCTTTTTAGGCACATGTGGGGTTTCTTAATATGCTGATATCGTATATGTTTAGGTTGTGGGATGCATCTGTAGTTGAACTAATAGGGATGAGGTATCTGCAATTTTCTTCATCACACATAAATCCCTTTCTTACTATGGGTGCTAAAGAAATGATGATAGAAATAAATTAGTTAAGTCTCACCTTGAAAACTTTTCCCTTTCAAGCTATTTCTTAGCAAGGCAGTACATTTTTCTACCTCTCTTGTATAGGAAGAGACATTCAAGACTATGTTGGTCTGCTGTGTGGTGTTTTTTCTCCTACGTGCACTACTTAAAAATCATTATCTCTCCCTTTCCCCATCCCTGGAATGTCTTCTCAGAACGTGTCAAGCAAGTGGGTGGGAGCCCAAGGGCTAGCTTAAGGCGCTCGCAGGAGGCCATTCAGTGTCTGACTTGGTTTCTATTTAAGTGCAGTCTGTCTGAAGGGACAGTGTCTATTACTCTGTTGGAATATGTATTTTTAGGATGCATTCAGATCTTTATTTGATAGCAGTGCAGAAATACACATTACAATAGTCACGCTATTTCCATAACTGGAAGAAGTTTTATTCTTCTTTTACATCCACTGGAATTTGTTTGTTTTAGAGACCGTTGTTGAGAATCCATTAATAGTGTGTGAATGATCTAAACAGCATCACGACAGTCTTTCAGTTAGAGTTATTATGGTGTGGCAGTTGTTTTACATCCCAAGTTAGCTCTGTTTCTGCCAACCTGGTATAATTTTGCGTTTCTCTCATTCCTCTGAATGAATATAAATGATGTTCATGTAAAACTTGATACATGGTTGGGATGTTAATCCTACCTTATTAGTGAAGATTGCCTTCTATTTTGTATTACATATGTTTTTTTAAAATTCTCCTTTTTGCATAATGGGTGGTTTTGGGTGTGGACAGGTATATTTCTTCATTGAGCTGGAAATACTTGCAAATCTCATCCTCTGCCTGAATAATTTTCAGTCCTGCAAACTTCAGCAAAAACTCTTTACTCCTGGTTAAAGTTTCTTTTTATTGCAGTCAACTTGTAGAAGCCTGTTGCATTACAACAGCCATACCTTGCACACAGTGCTGTACACGTAGGGCACTGACATCATTACATTAAACACTGTTTTTCTGCTTGGCAGAAATAATCCAAGATTCCACCTGTGCTAACGTTTTTCTAATATACTGCAAAATAGATTATCACTGTTTCACATCTGAAAATGAATGCCAAAAGTTCTTGTTATAACAACAGTATCTGATTTTCTTCTTTTTAATCCTCATTTTTTAAATATGTTTGATGATGTCATGCCTTTTCTTTTTCCTTCTCCCTCAGATTTGGATCACACAGCAGATGTGCAGTAAGTATGGGTAGCTGGGATTTCTCAGTATGACAAATTGATTATTTCTTACGCTGCTTTAAGTCTGGATTAACCCTTGAAGACTGGTTGTAAATGTACACCGTATGGAACTGTGAAATGTCACACACTGGGTTTTTTGATGGTCAATTTTGTTTCTTCTCTTGGGAGAGCATAGAATCACGTTTGGTTTCTTTTCTAATGTAACATTCCTATGGTGCTTCTGATTAAGTCTCTGTTATTTGGAAATGTCATTTGAAATCTCCCTTTAATCTCTTCCTTTTAAACCAAATTTCTTCTGAGTATTTCACTTTCATGGATATCAATTAGCAATACTAGGAAAGAACTTTCTTGTTGTCTGGTAAAACATCTGTTTTCCATATTCTCCCAATAAAGTCTTCTCACAAACTGCAAGAAGGAAAATCTCTGTAATCTGCCCAAATGCATAGGTATAGAAAAGCAAGTATTTTTGTTCGTTCACTTCCTCTGCATTAATTCTCGTGTTCTGATTGCTCACCTGCATATTACTTTGGGATTTTCTTTTTTGTCGTTACAGTCCGGTAAATTATCCCCTGTCTTTTTAGGCTACATGCCTGGGGAGACACTTTGGAAGAAGCATTTGAGCAGTGCGTTATGGCCATGTTTGGCTACATGACTGATACAGAGACCGTGGAACCTCTGGATACAGTAGAGGTAGAGGCAGAAGGTAAGGCTGCGTTGACTTCTTACATTGGAACTGTATGAACCCTGAGGGAGAAGGGTATCAGAATTTTGAATCTTTACATGTAGTGTTGTTGCAGTTAATTAAAATCTAATTAAGCATCACTAATCTGAATCTTCTAATAGTACAGAAGCTGTACATCTGACGTACTCTTAAAAACATTTGGGTGTTCTTGCTGAGACAATCAACTGACTATCTTCTCTGCTTCAACCATGCAGGACATGACATGTTGTCTCTTCTCTTCCACTTCTTGGATGAGTGGCTGTATAAATTCAGCGCTAATGAGTTCTTTATACCCAGGGTGAGTTCTGTTTTGATCTTTTTCCATTTGTAGGTCAAGGCTATTCTCTGATAATACCAGCTCTGAAGGCAGTGTTACTTTAGGAAAAAAAAGGGACACAGCAGATCACTTAAGCACAACACATGGAGAATTGAAAATACCAGGGCAGAGAGACTTGAGAAACAAATTGTTAAGCTTTGTTGCCACAAACACCAATTATTAGCTGCTATTATAAGGTAGGGACAGCTCTGCTGCCTTCATGTTCTAAGTAGCCTAGCTGCTATTAATAAGGTAGGGGCAGCTCTGCTGCCTTCATGTTCTAAGTAGCAGTGTATCTCTTTGAGGCTGCTCAGGTTCTCTGGTTTTAGATTCCATCTAAGCTGTGGAATATAACCCTTGTAACTGGAATTTACTGAGAATTTCTGCCTGAAAATAGAAGGTGTTACTGACATATTTCTCTTATTTTCTCTGCAGGAGGTGAAAGTGCTTTACATTGACCGAATGCAATTCAAAATAAGATCAATTGGGTGAGCTTAAACGATCAGTTGAGTAATTAATATCTTTACTGAAAACACACATGTTGCCTTCAGAGTAACCTGTCTGCAATACTGTGATGTCCTGGAAATCACCGATGCTTTCTAAAAAGTGGATTGTGGACTTCTTTTTTTTTCTTCCTTTGAGGCTTTAAACGAAAATCTGACTGTCCTATGCTCATCAGTGAAACTAGTTATAACGTTTGGTAAATGTTCCTCTGTTCTTTTTGCCTTTAAAGGTGGGGAGAAGAGTTCTCCTTAGCCAAACACCCTCAGGTATGCAGTGGTTCATCTGTACATCTTTTACATTTTAGGGGTAGGATGGGGAGGCGTGGTGTCTTTTAAATCAGACCTCTAGGTTCTCAAGAGATCCAAGTATAAACATGTCTGGATGGTATTACAGGCACTAAACTTAAGATCTAACTTTCTGCTTGTTTTTTGTGAACGTTTTCCTGAAACTGTTGACCTGAGCACCTGGTGCTTCCTCAGCGTTAGCAAAACTCAACAGTTGGCTGATAATACAGTAAACCAATCTACATTCAGAATGCGTACGTGGGTTTGGTTTTCACACCATTATCACAGCTTAATGCTTAGTCAGGTTTTGCTTCTCTTTTTTTTTTTTTTTTCCTAGAGAATTGCTAGAAGCAAATCCTTATCTCCCTGCCAGCTCTTTAGCTGTGTCAGTATTAGCATAGCAAATGTTGGTGTTCTGTCAGAGGTAAGAGGAGGAATTCATAGTATTCAAGAGGCAATAAAATAAGGGAAGAGTTACTTATTCACTATTTGGCCTGTGCAAGTCCTTGCCATTAGTATGCCAACATTCTTACTCATCAGAACAAATATAGTTGGAGCTTTTTGGGGAGAAAAGCTGTTAAACTGGATAGCATTTGTAGAAGGTAGTAAGTACCGTGTATTATCATAAACTACTAGAAGGGATGTCATTTAGAAAATCCATGCTTTTGTGTCTTTTCTCTATAGGGCACAGAGGTCAAAGCCATAACTTACTCAGCAATGCAGATCTGTGAAGACGAAAAGCCAGAAGTCTTTGTCATCATTGATATTTAAAGGAAGAAAAGTGTGGTCAAGTGGATACTTGTCATTGGGTGGCGAAAGTCCCTGGAAAACTGTAATCCCTGTGGAAGAAACTAAGGAATTGGCCAATTAAAGTCATAAATTGAAGGGAGTAATTGCAGGGAATGTCAGCCTGTGTTTTGACTTGAGGATGGTGAGACAGAACTACCTGCAATGCCAGGAAAAAAAAGAACTAGTTGGGGTTTTGGAGGATGTTGAGAAGAAGAGAGAGAGTTGTAGGGGTTGAAAGTCTCTCAGGAATGCTAGTAGTCAGCTTTTAAGGCTGATATGTGTTAGGTGCTATATGAACTAAATAGAGAAATTAGGGGAGCTGCTAGCTAAAATACTACTTTTTTTGTAGGCTGGCAGGAGATACTATTCATGTACAGGATTTCATTTGCAGATTTAAGTGTTCTGAGGTGACATCCCTCCTCCATATTATATAAAGCATCCAAAATATCTGCAGTGGGTCAGATTTAATGTACCAAGATTTCTGACTGTTCAAAGGACACCTAAGAAAGTACACAAATTAAAAATTACAAACCACCACGCCTCCTAGACTACGTTAAGAAAAAAAAAGTCATGCCAGCAGGTGGTGCTGAGTTGCTGTAAATAAATTTCCACATGAAATCCGAAAGCATGTGACCACGTGCATAGAATCCTAATAGCACCTATTATACTCTACAAAGTAGGCAGCTTTTCCGCCCTGGTAGAGAAGGATGCACCAGATTCTCTGCGGGTTCACTCCCAACTATGACTTGGGAAAGCTGATTCTCTTTTCCTAAAAAGTAAGCAATTTGGATCAGCTTTCCTGTCTTCCTTTAGAAAGGACAATAAAAGCAATCCTTTAGTGTCAAAGGATTATGGACTTCAGTTCACTGAATCAAAATTAAAAATAATAAAGAATGTGTTTTGGTTTAAATGACAGGACAGCAAATGTGCGTTACCTGCCATTGCTATTTAAATGTGAGAGGTGGACAGTGGGAAAGGGACGGTTTTTATTGTAGATACTACAAGTGCCTCACCTCTGGAGGTAGTGTCTCATTTTTATTTTGTTATAAAGTCATGACTAGATCTGGTTTTATTTCCATATTGTGAAGATTGAGGGATAAAACCCCTCTTATTTTTGAAAAAGTTTCAATGCTGAAATAAAACTTGAACGGAAAGGATTAACGGGTTTGTGTGTGAATGATTTTGGCCAGTGGAATTTTAACACAAATTAATTACGTTTGTGCTTTGTTCTCTGCTAAGGTGAGCGGCCTTTTTTTTGGTAAGTAAGAATGATGATACGCCTATTTGATGGTACAAAAGTAAGTATGATTTTCACACACTGGGTTTTCTTCCCTCCTCAGGAGCCCCAGGGCTCCGG